TTAAATAGTCAACGTTTGACTTATTCGAGGAGGAATATTAATTTACAATCATAATTGTATAATTTAGAAGGGTTGTCTTCAGAATGTTCTGGTCTGATTATTATCTGATAGTCATTTAGTACAAACAAAATTCAATGTTTTTAATTAGATTATTGAATTTCAACTATTTCAGATAACATTTTTTCAATCAATGCTTTTCTTGTGATTGGGTTTTTCAGGTCAATAAATAGTTTATAAAGTACTCTAGGTTATCAGGTTTTTCATTACCAGTTGATTTTTGATTGGTTGCATAACATCTAAAATTGCCTATGAATTCTAATACAGACTACATAAACACTTTTCCCCAGGCACCTTCAATAACTACAATAAAAAGTACTATTGATGACTGTATTTCACAACAGTCTCACTATATATCCGCAAGTCTCATAAGCTCTCATAATAAATTCCAAATGATATGTTTTTATACGCTGGATGTATTTGATTTTTCCCTTCACAAAGATCAGGTAATACCTGGAGTGTTCTTTATTACACTTAATGCACAGCAGAATAGCACCTTGGTAAACACACCTAGAGACATATAGACAGAATGACATAAACTCAGTATTTATTAATCATATATTATTTGAAAATAAAAGCATATTTATTATACCAAAGAACAAAGTTTGGTAGGGATAAAGTGAAGCCCTCAATCTGTTCATCACAGTCTGTCCGTCCATCCGTCCGTCTGTCCGTAAAATAGACTCTATACTCTATTATACTGGATTGATTTTCTTCATATTTAGTAGAAAGATATTGGAAAATAGTTTTACCCTTAAATATTTTTTTCAAGATGACCACCACTTTCAAAATGGTGGGAATTTTTCATTTCAAACCAAAGTAATGGGTATTATTGTTTGAAATTATATCTATTTGACATTTATTTTACCTTCTTCTGTACAACCCCAAGGGGCTGTGTAGGGGGTTGGGAAATCAAAAATTTTCATCAATTTTGAGATCTTTCTGAAGTATAGCTTTATTATATTCAAATGAAAGGCAGTATTATGCCATTTTCTGATTCTGGGCTTGAAAAATTCAAAATTGCTGGCTGATGTGAAATTTAGTAATAACATCTTTGATTCAAAATTGCTGACTAATGTGGAAATTCACAAATACATCTCCAATTGCTGGCTGATGTGTAATTATAATAACATCTCTGATTCAAAATTGCTGACTAATGTGGAAATTCGAAATACATCTCAAATGTCTGTCTTTTATTATCTGCAAATCAAAGGTAAGTATTAAGTTGTGGCATATACAGATATTAATATTTTGTTCGTTAGCTTTGTTTGTTGGGATTTACTACTCCATCGAGTTGCTGTTTTCTAGTTTATGTGTGGTGTAATGATAGTAATACTCATATGCATATTCAGAAATCAGTACGAGTTATTGTGTGTAATAATGTAATGCATATTCAGTATAATGCTTGGAAGGTTAGATAAGTGAGCAGCAAGGGGCATGATCTTTATAAGGCAAAATTAGCTGAAGTTAAAAGGGGTTATTCAATTGTAATGGCACTACTGGATTAGGAAGTGACGTGGAATCAAACTCATTGTGACTGTAACTTTATCTTTGCCCTCTTACAAATGACTTTATGCTCATTTATCATTATCCTCACCAAGCATTTCCGTTGAAACAGGAAAATAGCATCTTATACGAGGGGAAATCTTGAAGCTTATTTGGAGCAATATTTCTTTCAGATTATACATGACAATTAGATAGTTTTCGAAAGGCCACCTACAGGAGAAATGAACTGATGGAGAATTAGCTGTGTTTGAGTGAATCTTCTTCATTAAAGGTTACACGCATCAGAAGCAATTTCAAATATCTCAGAGCTGTAATATAAAAGGACAGAATAACCGAGAGATAAATGGGAAAATCATAACATAATATAAGTGATAAAATTAAGTAATTGTTTTGCTTCTTGCTCATTTTATCACGAAGAATATTTTTGAGGAATAAAATTATAGCAGTTCACGTATTATTATGGGATTAATCGCTACGAGAATTGCAGAAATTCACCTGGATTTTGGTAAATGTAATGCAGCTTTGTTTGATCACTTTGGCTATTGTTATTTGTGAATAGAATGATAATAGTTAAGTATATAGTATATGTTCAGTGTTATTTCTGTTATTTTTATCACATTTTAGCATGTTAAGAGATAGTATATGTGTCTGTTGTGCAGAGAATTCACTGTAAATGCATGCATATACGTAATAGATTTACCTAACAAAGGGTGTAAATTGCTGGAAATGGCAAATAACAATATTAAGTGCACAGTTTTCACGATCGGTTATTATTATTAATCTAACTACAATACTGCTAGCAACATAAATTAGAGTAAATGAGATTAATGACACCCTTTTTTATAAAACAACCTCAGAAAATGTACATATAGGGTATATTTTAACTATGTAGGGGTCACAATGAATGCAAATTCTGCAGGTACTCAGAGATGTGTGCTCATCATTGTTCCTCACTAACTTGTGCAAAATCTTTAACAAAGGTTTAACAAAGGTTTATTGTTGTTACTGTTATTGTTGTTATTGTTACATGTTGACTGTGAAGTTAATGAAAGGCAATTTACTTTAAGAAAGTAATTATGCTCTGAGTACTGCTGTCAACTAGTGAATACTATCCAAAGGAGGGCAACATTGAAAATTTTGAAAAACAGAATAACGTAAACTGAACAGAAGGTTTGAATGACTTGTTTGACATGTTTGATGGTAATTTGTTTTGATAGAATCGACAAACGAAACAAAGTAATGATTTCAATAGAAAAACATATAAGTGAATGATCTTGTAAAAAGTGTATACATGAATTATTTGAATTCCAAAATAGAAAACTGTATTTTACTTGTCAATTCTTAGGCTATAAACTAAAATGAAAACTCATACAAACTGCTCATATATTAGACATTTAGTGAAATAAGAAGCATGATACAAATAAGTTTGTCACGTCTGTAATACATGTGCACCTACACTGCTGGGATATAACGAAAGCAACGGACATGAAACTGCAATGAAACAAGACTATATACAAAAATGACCAAACTATTTGGAAGAATTGATGACATATTTTCACTTCAGCCCTTAGCTCAGGATTTCATTCTGTGTTTTCATAAACTAATTTGTTTGTTTATTTGTTGATGGAGCAATATGTCACTGACGTCACAGATTGTGGTATCATATTCTGAGAATTCATGAACAAAAGTGTTATATGACATCATGATAAAACAACACTGAAAATGATGAGCTCTCAGTTGCTATGAATAACTATGTCCTGAAGCGTCATATATCGTCATTCTGCGTCATTGACATTTAATTATAGAACACATGTCAAACGTGAAGTTAATAAACAAGCTTTTCCTAGAGGTGTTTATTTTCTATATCTGTAATCTCAAAACAAATCACCATTGTCATAAGGGTTAGCATGGTATATCCTTAAAATGACAAAAAGCCCCACTTATTGGGGCCTTAAGACATATGAAACTGTACATGTACAACTACATTATTTTTTTGAACATTTAGTACAATTGAAATAGGTTGATAGAGCTTTTTGAGAAATATTTGAAATATTAAGTTAAAAAAGCAATGGAGACCAATAATGGAAAGTTAAAAATGATTTAAATATTAACCAATTTTGCCCTTCAAAATTATGGTGCTCTTGATGAGAGACACTGTTATGTTAATTATCATATCTTGGGTATTCCTATAGGGTGTGTTACTCATACTTATTTATTTCAATTTGTTGTGAGTCATGTAATTAAGGAAAATAAATGTTTCATTTAAACATGTATTGAAGCAGAGTGAGGCATGCTGTGAATGAACTGTAATAACAGGATATTGAATTGTTATGTCAGCACAGCAACCCTAGCTCAGTTGCTCAGTTGTTAGATGCTTGAAAAAGTTGGGTTAAGAATGGGGGCATCATCCTTTCAAAAGGGAAATAGTGTAATGGCCCTGGATAGCAAGTAACTTCTACAGGACAGCTACCCTAGCTTAAGTTTTGATAGCTCAGGAACTTGAATTTACCACACTTTCTTTCATGTCGGAATCTGGCTTGTTACATTACGCTGTACATTCGTCATTTACCAGAGGGCCTCCAGTGATGACAGTACTACAACTTGTATTATTTTTGAAGTTTTGACTTTTTGGTTGCCCTTGTAGTGAGTGAGTGAATGAATGGGTGATTGAGGTTTCAATTTTATCATTTAGGCTTGGTGTTATTACAGAAAAGATGTTGCAATTGTTTATGATCATTGTGAAATAATGGTTTTATGAATTAAGGCGTCAGCTTTGTGGTGGGATGTTGACACTTTAATGCACTTATGAACTTTAAATTGAATTTTTTCTCATCCACATCTTTTGAAACTGAATGATATATCTTGAACTAACTCTTGTATGTATTTTTGTCTTTGGGGTTATGGTTTTAGATTGTGATATTTGTACTTGAATGATGAGGGGATGGCCAGGGTTTTTTAGACAACATTTCTTTTTATGTTGGATTATGATTTGGGTTTACTCTTTGGGTGTACTCTTAGATGTTTTCTTTTTCTTGCTGTGCTCTGTAACTATACTTTGGCACATCATACATATTCCATTTCAAAGGAAAATATAATGTTACTGAATGTTGTTGTTATTAATGTTTAATATATTAAGGGATGGTTACATAGATGACTTTTTATTACACTTTTTCAAAGTGCTATATTGTCATCATCTTGTGTTGATGGATGTCTTGACATCCGGATGTCATTTATTGTTGCTGCATCAGTGCCTTCATTCATTGTCTTCTTTCTTCTCTCTTTGTCTGGATTTGATTGTGATGTTAGTTATCTTTCTTCAGGGACCACAGACTTGAGACTGCACGTAGATGGGTTAAACGTTTTGATCCGGCCGGAAAACTCTCCCCTTCCCATTACTGGTGTTCTTATGGTGTCTTCTGTCGGTTCCTTCCTCTTACTTGTGATCGGTCTTCTAACTTCTCGTAGTTTACTCTCTTTGCGGAGAACATACTGTTTCGTATTCATTTGTGGTTTGTTGTATCTTCCAATGGTCCTTTTTCCATATAGCTTTGAAATCTCATTAGATTCTCATTTTTAATGAGATTTTAGGAGATCTGCATTTTTAACCATTTTCTTCTATTTGATGTATTATTTGAATTCTGTGTGTAATTTCCTATCAAAACAACTTTGATTTGCACCATTATTTACCTTTATTCAAATTCTAATGCTTTTCTAGTTGTCTAAAAAAGGTCGGGCTAAACCCCCATTGACACGATGCTGAAAAACCTTTAAAAGTTCATTTACTCTTATAAGGATCACAATGTGGAATGTGGAATCACAATCAACATGTCGATAAGATCATATAGTTACATTCCAATGGTGTTTTAAGTTGATCCAAATGAAATTACTTCTTTAATCAAGAAATTAAGTGACTCTGGCAATACATTTACATGTATTCTAGCCCTACCCTAGCCCTACCAATACCCATGATGCTATCTATTTTTCCATTTATATGGAAAAAGGTCAATTGACTGCAGATTAAATCAAAAACAGCTTACTCCTTCAATTTGATTTTTTACATGCATGATCAGAATAGTGCCAAGATCTGATCATTTAATTTTGGACATGCTTTGTAAACCACAAGGTGTGTCTTATTGGTATGATTACTAAAGAAACCCTATTTTTCATATTTTTAAAAATATGATACCATTCAATTATACATTTATTGTTTCTATCCTGCCTTAAACTTTGAATCTGTGAATTATATGTAACGAATTACACATGTATATACACATATATATTTGTACACACACTATTTGCCATGCAATGAAAAAGCAGAAACTTCAAACAACAGCGTGTAACAAATGATTGTTTGTCATGTTTTTGTGTAACATACAGAATAGAAAAGGGCATCCTTTTTTCCTCCTTAATGTCATTGGTTTAGATTCATTGACTCTACCTAATGATAAATAGACAATATTAATTCACAATTCATTTGTGTAATGACTTAAAATAATAAAAGCTGGGATATTAGTATTAGTGATGGTAAGGAAATTTGATAACATTCTTAATCAGGACTACAGACTGAGGATATTAACGTTTCCATAGTTACCAACAAAATGTATACCTAGCAAAATAACAAGGTACTTATAGATGCTGTATTAAATAGTTGAGTAGAATTATAAATTTTGCATTTGCATACAAATCAGCTTTTGAATTGAGTGGTAATAGACTTCAAATCCTTGCAAAACACATGATAATGGAATATTTGAATGTGTGTCTATATGCAGGCCGTAGCCAGGATTTGCCAAGGGGGGGGGGTTCAGTTTTCAAAAATTTTCCAGGGGTTCACATTTGACAAGTTTGGCCCGAACATGGCTAAAATCACTTGTGAAGTGCTCAAAATGGTGAAAAATTGCATGATTTTGAAAGAATTTTTGGCCAGGGAGGGGGGTTCGCCCGAACCCTGCGAACCCCCCTGGCTACGGGCTTGATATGTATACTCATACGTGTTCCATTTGGAACTTGTGCATACATTTTTAACAGGCTCAGTCTGAAATGGGTGATATATTATATTCATTGATATCTACTTCTTGAATCTGATTCATTATATCATCTGTTTGATTAACTCTTTCAACCACTTTGTATTATTTGTTGGAGAGGTGTTTTTCTTTGTTTTCTGATTTTTTCTTTGTTTTTCAAAGTATTACCCCTCATGTTTTTTTCGTCTGCTCCAGCATGTATATTTTTCTGTTATTTATAGGTAAGTTTCAATAGATGGAGTGATTTCACCCCCCTGTGTTCATATTTTGTGACTGTTTAATATGTTGTTTTGGAGAGGGAGATTTAAATTTAGCAATGTTTTGTTAAACTTCCAGATTCATCAAGCTCATCATATTTTCTCATTAGGTCATACCACTATGGCAGCACTATATGCATAGAACTAATCCAAATAGTAAAACGCACAGTAAAACCATGGCCAATTAAATACTGTATATGATAATAATGTGCCTTTTCCCTTTCTTTTTTTTCATGTGCTGTTATTCTGCTGCTGTGCAAAAATTATCTGATGACCAACTGAAATTGCACCCTGTTATCGTTCAAATCTCTTTATCTTTATGATGCCTTTGATCATGATGTACTGGCATTGTTATTGAAACGCTTCTTGACAACAGGTAAGTTATTTTTCATATTATTCTACATGTCTTATCTCTGATTGGAGACATTTGATGTAAACCCTCAAGATATGACAGAAGAAACATTTTCTAATGAATAACAGGATTGACACGTGTCTTGTTTTATGGAAATTAAAGTAGCTGTGATTTTGAACTTACACAAAGCAGATAGTTAAGGGTTGGGTTCATTATTCTTTGTACAAATTGGGAGAAAATTTGGAGTTGCTAAAAGAAATGATTTCTAAAAGGAATATAATCATATCAGTACAAGAAACAAGATTCTCTAACTGAAAAGGAGAATTTGATGTAAAAATGACTTCTTCATTGATTCCTTTCTTCAACTTGTTATTAGGTTGATCAGTCACCATGGTGATTTGTGTTTAACACTAGACGTATAAAGGAACTGCAAAATGCTTTTTGTATAAATTGACCATACGTTTGATCCAATTGACATGTTGCTTCCTGAAGAAGGATGGTCAAGAACACAAGATTAAGTCTGAAATACAAATCAAATTCACCTTTAGACAGAACTAATACTCAAGGCTCCATTAGGATTTATGTGTGATCTCGTAGAAAATATTTTAAGAATTAAATGCATGAGTCTCTGATATTCTCCATGCTGGGTCATCTTGAACGTATCAATTATACAGCGCTCACATGGGAATCATATTTTTGTCTTTAGAAAAGTTATATCTCGAGCTGTGCAACATAAAGAAAAACTAAGAACAAATATATTTTAGGTGCCACAGTAAGATCTTTGTTTATCTATACCCATGCAAAACTGGTATGGGGAATAGTATTCAAAATGGATGCAGATCATTTCCAAATGCAATAATGGGATATGTGCAAATTTCAAAATGTTCTTTAATTTGCTGATTTTACCTTATTACACAATATTTATGGGATAATAAATGATATATTATGAAACATGATAACTAACTATGTTAGTATATTAATTACAATATCATTAAAGCAACAAATCACAATAAATTCTGCAGAATATTTCCTGCTTAAATCGAGAGGATCTTGAACAACATTTAGGGATTTCCTATATTAGTAACAGAAAACACAAAATAAATATAATTTCCAAATATACCCACGTATCAATGCAGCTATAAGACTTGAGATTTTATTCAAAAATTCTTTATTCAATCACAAACATTTAATTGCATCAATTCATATCTTGTCTAGCAATGATACCCTTCCCATTGATGTTCATTGAACTGCTATTTAGTTTCCTGAAACTAGCATATAATTCTAACTTATGACTCAAAACGGATATTAGTGGCAATATAAGTAACTGTTTATGAGGATTAAAAGTAGTATGAGAATAAAAAGTAGTTTAGGTCTATGTTTTAAGATTAGAGAAAACTCATAGGACAGTATTAGAAAGTCACAAACCCATTAGACTGAAAGCAATGTATTTTCTTAATAATCTAGTTGATTCAAGCTTGTTCTGAAATCAGTGACAAAGATATTTTTCTCAACCTTTTTTTGATTTTTTGTTGATTTTTCAGCAAGGATGCAAATTTAATTTAGAGTAGAAACTATGGCCATGTTTCTTTGTTATATAATTTTCTTGATTTAACAACTAAATCTTCAAAGATATCAAAATTTGCTAATGAGTAATGTTGTTCACTGTTAAGAGGCAGTATTTAATGATCCATTGCAACCTCATTTTTATCGAATCTGTCTTCATTCATCATTGATGTAGTCAATATATCAGATGTCTCTGAAACATGGGATAAGGTGTAATCCCACTGGAATTGACCGAACAAATTTGTTCTGGCATAGAAAACTCATTCATTTTAATTTTTCAAATCTTTTTTCCTTGTATAATCTAAGATGAATTGTATAATATGAATGTTCCTAAAAAGGTGTCATATTGTTGTCAGCCTGGCAGGTCAGATGGGGGACGGATGGTGGCATTATACTTTACATGTCTGTGTATTTCAATTGCAAACTGCTTGACACAGAATTTTTAGGGAAGATGGCAATCTAGACTTGATTCGTTTTTCAGCATGTTTGTTAAATGTTAAGATTGCCATTTTGAAATGTGAAATTGATCATCCCATGCCTTGTTTCTCCCTGCTTAAAGTTACAGAAAACTGAATGCCCAGCTAATATCTTACATTATCTAACCTTGATGTGGTTCACAATGAGAGTGCTCCACTCATATATATTTTATATATAATTTATGTCTGAGAGAAAAATGATTGAAACCAGTTTCCAAAAATTGTCTTGGCAAATGTTGAAAGGTTTAAGGCAGTTGACATTATGTCACCTTATTTTCTGTCAGCCTACTATTCATTTATCTAGCAACAGGTGTTCTTTATTACCATATGCTTTATGAGAGCTCTACGATTTTTATCCCCCCATTATTTTGAGATATTGGATACTTTCTACTTTAATTATAATATGTTGTTTGTCATAACTATGGCTAGAATAATGTGAATATGTTGAACACAGGCTTTCCCTTGAAAGTACATGGTATTAACAAAGCCATTTATTACCCTAGATCGAATAGTTGGCCCCATTTATTCTCCGTGTAATGTGATGACATTGATGTTCTGTTTCTAAATTATGTGCTTTGAAGTACTGTATTGTGCCAATGACAGAATTTTTCACTCAAACTAGGAGTAACGATAACATATTATACTCTAGGGGATTCTCACATACATACTAAACAAGATATGTCTGTGTGTCACTTGTTATTGTTCTGCTTGCTTATCAGGTGGCACACTCATTTGAGATCAGTTGGAATGACTCTTATATACATATATAATGTTTGTATATATAAAGGCTATATATGTACATACATCCTGAATGTGAGACTGAATCAAAAAGAGA